GTAATCGCTTTATTCAAACTTTTCGTTCTACAATTTATTCAAATTTAAATAATTAATATAAATATTATAGTATGTGTTTGTAATTTATTTAAGTAGGCCTATTACTTAGTCCAACTTTTGCTGTTTAATTTGATAACTAGAGCACATTTTGTAACAATTTCTTGTGTTTTTTCGCTAACAGAATTCGCATCTTTCCATGTAATATGCTTAGTGGCTGAAAGCACTAAACACTGTCGTGGGTTCGAGCCTCACGTGGGTTTTTCTGTGTGTCCTTCACGTGTCTAACACCTAAATAGGGCCCACCTTTATACCTAAACTCCTCTCGTCTAACACCTAAATGGTGCCCAATTTCTCATTGAAAGTTTTCTAGTTAAATAGGACCGATTTAAATGTTAAACACGTGACAGAAACCTAGAAAATTGTACATGGAGAGCCCGTTGGTGAGGAGCGAACCCGCGACCAGTGTACGATGGTGTTATCCAATCGGGTACTCGGCCGCGTAATAAATTTTAACAAGAGCAATAATAGTAACGCAGAATTTAAAGTTTATTTAGAAAATTTACAAAATTAAAGGTTCAAAATCTTATACGAGTCTTCGAAAACTTGATAACAATTTCTGGAATTTAAATGAAATTCCTTCCGAATTTTTCGGATTAATATAAAAATAAAGTATGATTATGAAGGAAATTAAATAAAATTTAATTGCTAATTGTTAATATTTAAATGGAAATGACCCAAAATGAGGGAACTGATGATGAAAGAAGTGGCTTGACACATCCGAAACTGGCCGCCCCCGAAAAATTCCTGGAGTGGGTTTCGAATGCTTGGATTCGATCTTAAATTCCCCAGAGCGGTAGCTTGGAGCCTTATAGCTTGGGACCTTACAGCCTGAGGCCTTAACCGCAACATAGTACTAATGAACTTGCATTGCTTTAGTGTTTATTCATTAATAAGACAAAGATATTTAGCAACTATTCTCGAAATTCTTGCTATTTTTTTTTTTTAGTTTTATTATAATTTTATAATTTTCGTTAGCCGTTAGTAGTCGAATGTATACAACCACTAAACATTGGCAGAAGGTCTTGGGGTTCGTGCCTTATTTCAGGTATTTTTTTTATTAAATAGGGCCAATTTCCCATAAAATGGCATTTCCCTTTGACAGATTGCACTTTTATTTCTGGTTTTCTTCTCATGTACGATACTAAATAGGGGTAGTTTTTCATAGAATGGTATTCTCCCATTGGCAGATGGCCTTTCTCTCATTCCCAAACTATGTAATTTTTGCTTTGTTCTATCAAATTAATATTCTTCTAGAGTTTAATTCGTAATAAATCGCTCAAAATTTGCTTAAAATAAAGTAAATTTTATGTAAAAATCAAAGATTAAGCAGCAACAAATTTTATTTTGGTTTCTCAGTGAGTAGCTTAATAAAAAAAAAAAAAAAAAAGATATTCTAAGTATCTTATCTTTAAATGTTAACTGTTATCGGGACACGATTTATGCTTGTCTAACAAGTCCGAAAATCACATTACCCATTCGAGATAACCTGAGAAACTTTGAAAACAAAACAATTGATCAGTAATTACTCAATTCGTATTCGTTTCCTATCTCGAAAATTAGTTTTAATCTTGCCTCACAAACCAGATAATTCTTATTATAAAATATTAAATTTGACCATGTCGTTGAAACAATTTAATGTACCTGTACTTAGGAATTTCTTAATATTCGCATCAAAATTCCTAAAATAGCATTTTTATAGGCATAACTACGTTCCTAATTCATTAATTTGTAGTTATATCAGTCATTTTCTCTTTTTTCTCATCCTTTACTCTATTTCTTTCTTCATTAGACTCTTGAGCAGTGCCAAATATTAGTACAAAAACAAAGTGTTTATGGGCATAATTACGTTCGTAATTCCTTAACTGAGGCCTTCTCTTCCCATTATCATCCCCCTCAATCTCTTCTCTTCTTCAACTTATACTTCACTAAGCCCTATCTGTTGCATTTCACTGATTTTCAGCTTCAATTTTGAGCAATAAACCTAATCAAAATATTATTAAGATAGATTATTCTATGAATTATACACATTAATCATGATTTCTCAGGAAGTTGTATACATTTAATTATTAATTAGTCAAATACACAGCTTATAATTCAATAAACAATTGTAACTTAATTAAGATCTTTCGTAAAACTTCTTTCTATTTCAGGAATAATGTAAATAAATGATACAAAATTTCTATTAAAAATTTTTAAATTATTCAAAGTTGATGTTAATTTCTATCAGATTAAAAAAAAAAAATTATCCAGCGACGAGTTGCATAACTTTCCAGGCAAAAAAAGTTAAAATTGCATGTTGCGCCATCTGTTATCAGATTTTTATTTTAAAATTTTTTAAATATTATTATTATTATTATTATAAAAATGTCTGAATTTTTAGGGTAGAGACGTGTTTTATAAATGCTAATAACAAGTTCAATCGCACTCCAGATATACACAAGTGACCCTGTCTATCTCCTCAACCGCTCGATCTTTAACCACCAAAATTTAAGAGTCAAGGCCCCTAACACACACGAACTTCCCTGCAAAATTTCGGGAAATTTTCGACAAATACACAGGAGTTATTAAGCTTTAAATTGGAAGAACCCCGCCCCAAATACACAAACATTAACGTCCATACACACATGAAAACGCCCAAATTTTTTGAATTTCTCGACGATTCGAGGCCCCCTCTCCGTTATAGTAAATGAAAAAAAAACCTCAAAATAACGCTAAATTTCGATATATCCGTTTATTTAAGTTTCTTCTAGAGAGGGGTTTTTTCCCTCGTATGAGAATGGTAATCCTTATTTTAAATAAATAAACAATATTTTAAATTTAATCCACATTTTTCTAACTTAAACATAATTTATAATTTATTATCTCAGCATATTTTCGAGTAATCGAATTAAAAAAAAAAATTACTTTTCGTTAAGCAAACAGACGGACAAACACACGCACCAAAAGAAAACAAAAATTATTTACTGCTTCTCGTTAATTTAATATTTATGGAAATTTAGGATAGGATTTATCACTAAAATTCACCTTTTTTTTCGAGTTTATATTACAAATTTGTTGCCTTCTTATACGTTTTACAACAACACAGAGACAGATTTGCACCTAAATAAGTTACTGTTTAAGGGCCTTACATTAAGGGTCTATAGCTAGAGCCTTTGCACTTTTATACGTATTATTATTTAAAGCAGGTAAAGGGCCTCTTGTATGTTACATTATAGACCCACAACAAGTATAAATTCCGGCCTTGCAACAATATAAACACAAATTGACAAATTAACAGAGTCGATCTCTTCTTTGAGGCCTTCCTCTGCTTACATTACAAATTAAATAATAAATATTTGATGCCCTCTTACATTTTTCGTACTTGTAAACAGCGTAGGGCCTCGGAGAAGGACTTCAAAATTTATTACTTTATTCTTAAAGAATCGTTTTAAGTTAGAAATTGTTGGTTCGAGTGTGATTTTGTAGAATGGATTTGAGAAAATTCGAAGTTTTGTAGAGTCTAAAAAGATGTCCTGAGGCCTTTCAAGAAATTCAATAAATTTTTTACTCTTGATTCAAACATCTTTTCTTTCCTAACTTGAATAAATATCTTTTTGGTAAAGTTAATGAGATTATAAAGGATGATAACAAATCGATTTTAATTACCATTAATTTATACGTTAATTAAGGGATAATCTCATAAAAGATTCAGTAAATAGTGTTATTTTTTTTTATATAATCTTATAGAGTTTTAAATTAGTTAACTGAGTTTTTGAAACTTTACCTGTTTTTTCCATAAAAACATGAGAATTTCGGTGATTAAGTACCAGCGGAGGGTCTTTAAATTTCGAAATTCCATATGCAAAAGTATATATAATATTTGTTAATATATTGCATACATCATTGCTCACACAGTTGCACACATTTCATCACTACACCTACACTTGTACACATACTGCATCATTGTACACACACCTGGCATTGTATACAAAATTGCATGACATATTTTGTATAACATTAATAATTTTCGTGTCTAATTTGCAATAAATTATTTATTCAATAGAATATTACAGTCGAACCTCCAATAACGGTCACAGACATAGGCCTTTGGAATGATCTTGGTGGAGGTTAATGGGATGCAACTTCTATAGAATACGTGTTCTATGGAATTTAGAACTGCAAAAATCGCTTGCTATTTCACGAAACCAATGTCTTTACTGTCAAGAAGACAGTGAAGAGTTTATCCTTTTACATATGGACATTATCGTGTTTGAAAATTAAATATGCACCCACATCATACCAGCAGAGTGAAGTTCTAAAAGCCAATCTCTGATGCTTCTTCCTGCAGAAACAGGAAGCTCAATGCCATCCCAAACCATTATAACACCCCATAAACAATGTAAAAAAAGCACTGGCAAACGAGCCTCTACGATGTTTACGAGAGTGTATGGGGTTCTGCACTCTCTCCAGTCAATAAACACAACATTGCCCCATTCATTCAATGTCGATGTTGTTGACACCATCTTAAATGGTCTCTTCTTTCTACAAAGGTTAATGGAATGCAACTTACTGGGCATGTGGCAAAAAGACCATTTGCCTGAAGCTTCCTGTAGACAGCTTGTTGTAAAACTCTAACAGCTCTGCAGAGAACTGCCTACCAGACATTCTTCTGTTACGACACGCTGTCAGAGTCGAACAGCCATCCTATTAAGGGGTGGTAACTCTTTGATGTCACTTTAACGTCCGATATCTTCTGTTTTTTTGAAGTCTGGATATAACGTTGTGCAATGCACAATCTGTCAGCTCTTCTAGCCTTCCAATAATTCTCCCTTTCATAAAATCGTCTTTTGTAGCATTATCACTGTCAGTATTATATATTAATACAGTAACAAACTGTCCTCGATGATCACAACAGAAACGATGATGTGTGTTTATGGGGCCTGCATATTTACCTTAAACCTATGTTTTTTAATGGAACATTTGACTACACTCCGGGTATTTTAACACGAGAATGTTCTGTTTATTTTTACTTTATCTATGGATTACTTTTGCTTAATTTACGAATAATTATGCATATTTTTCTACATATGCGTGACTTATTCTTTTTACATTACGTCCCTGCATCAATTATATCGCAATAAATGAATAAAAAAAAAAATAATAAGCTCAGATATATCTCTTTATATTATTATCTTTTATAAATTAAATAGTTATAAAGTTAACTCAATTATTTTTATAATTTTCTGTCAATAACAATAAAAGAATACAGTAACGTGACAGAATATTTACTCGTAATTAATATGCTTATTGAGATATAACGTAACAATTATTAGAATCGTCATCAATGAGTTTTCTTTTTTCTAATTGTTACGTCATAGTTCATTCAGTTTAATCTGAATCTGAATGAAACGATGACGCAACAATACGAGTATATTTCGTCGTGATTTTCACGTTACGATTTATTTTATACAACAATTAAAACGTCAATATCAATGAGTTTTTTCGTAATTAAAATTACACGACTCTAATGTTAATTAAAGGGAAATTATGACGTACAAGGAAAGTGCACGTTTAAAATCGAGAGAGCATATATTTTAAATAAAAAATAAATTAAAATTGCAGATTCACGTCACAATAAAATAATTGCTCGTTAGTTAAATGGTTTATTATATTGTTTATCCTTCATTAAAACGAAATAAAAAAAATTCATAATNATAATGAAGGTTTTGTGAGGAAGAGTACGTATTTTGGAGAGGATAATGAAGGTTTTGTGAGGAAGAGTACGTATTTTGGAGAGGATAATGAAGGTTTTGTGAGGAAGAGTACGTATTTTGGAGAGGATAATGAAGGTTTTGTGAGGAAGAGTACGTATTTTGGAGAGGATAATGAAGGTTTTGTGAGGAAGAGTACGTATTTTGGAGAGGATAATGAAGGTTTTGTGAGGAAGAGTACGTATTTTGGAGAGGATAATGAAGGTTTTGTGAGGAAGAGTACGTATTTTGGAGAGGATAATGAAGGTTTTGTGAGGAAGAGTACGTATTTTGGAGAGGATAATGAAGGTTTTGTGAGGAAGAGTACGTATTTTGGAGAGGATAATGAAGGTTTTGTGAGGAAGAGTACGTATTTTGGAGAGGATAATGAAGGTTTTGTGAGGAAGAGTACGTATTTTGGAGAGGATAATGAAGGTTTTGTGAGGAAGAGTACGTATTTTGGAGAGGATAATGAAGGTTTTGTGAGGAAGAGTACGTATTTTGGAGAGGATAATGAAGGTTTTGTGAGGAAGAGTACGTATTTTGGAGAGGATAATGAAGGTTTTGTGAGGAAGAGTACGTATTTTGGAGAGGATAATGAAGGTTTTGTGAGGAAGAGTACGTATTTTGGAGAGGATAATGAAGGTTTTGTGAGGAAGAGTACGTATTTTGGAGAGGATAATGAAGGTTTTGTGAGGAAGAGTACGTATTTTGGAGAGGATAATGAAGGTTTTGTGAGGAAGAGTACGTATTTTGGAGAGGATAATGAAGGTTTTGTGAGGAAGAGTACGTATTTTGGAGAGGATAATGAAGGTTTTGTGAGGAAGAGTACGTATTTTGGAGAGGATAATGAAGGTTTTGTGAGGAAGAGTACGTATTTTGGAGAGGATAATGAAGGTTTTGTGAGGAAGAGTACGTATTTTGGAGAGGATAATGAAGGTTTTGTGAGGAAGAGTACGTATTTTGGAGAGGATAATGAAGGTTTTGTGAGGAAGAGTACGTATTTTGGAGAGGATAATGAAGGTTTTGTGAGGAAGAGTACGTATTTTGGAGAGGATAATGAAGGTTTTGTGAGGAAGAGTACGTATTTTGGAGAGGATAATGAAGGTTTTGTGAGGAAGAGTACGTATTTTGGAGAGGATAATGAAGGTTTTGTGAGGAAGAGTACGTATTTTGGAGAGGATAATGAAGGTTTTGTGAGGAAGAGTACGTATTTTGGAGAGGATAATGAAGGTTTTGTGAGGAAGAGTACGTATTTTGGAGAGGATAATGAAGGTTTTGTGAGGAAGAGTACGTATTTTGGAGAGGATAATGAAGGTTTTGTGAGGAAGAGTACGTATTTTGGAGAGGATAATGAAGGTTTTGTGAGGAAGAGTACGTATTTTGGAGAGGATAATGAAGGTTTTGTGAGGAAGAGTACGTATTTTGGAGAGGATAATGAAGGTTTTGTGAGGAAGAGTACGTATTTTGGAGAGGATAATGAAGGTTTTGTGAGGAAGAGTACGTATTTTGGAGAGGATAATGAAGGTTTTGTGAGGAAGAGTACGTATTTTGGAGAGGATAATGAAGGTTTTGTGAGGAAGAGTACGTATTTTGGAGAGGATAATGAAGGTTTTGTGAGGAAGAGTACGTATTTTGGAGAGGATAATGAAGGTTTTGTGAGGAAGAGTACGTATTTTGGAGAGGATAATGAAGGTTTTGTGAGGAAGAGTACGTATTTTGGAGAGGATAATGAAGGTTTTGTGAGGAAGAGTACGTATTTTGGAGAGGATAATGAAGGTTTTGTGAGGAAGAGTACGTATTTTGGAGAGGATAATGAAGGTTTTGTGAGGAAGAGTACGTATTTTGGAGAGGATAATGAAGGTTTTGTGAGGAAGAGTACGTATTTTGGAGAGGATAATGAAGGTTTTGTGAGGAAGAGTACGTATTTTGGAGAGGATAATGAAGGTTTTGTGAGGAAGAGTACGTATTTTGGAGAGGATAATGAAGGTTTTGTGAGGAAGAGTACGTATTTTGGAGAGGATAATGAAGGTTTTGTGAGGAAGAGTACGTATTTTGGAGAGGATAATGAAGGTTTTGTGAGGAAGAGTACGTATTTTGGAGAGGATAATGAAGATTTTGTGAGGAAGAGTACGTATTTTGGGGAGGATAATGAAAATTTTGTGAGGCAGAGTACGTATTTTGGGGAGGATAATGAAGTTTTTGGGAGGAAGAGTACGTATTTTGGGGAGGATAATGAAAATTTTGTGAGGAAGAGAACAAATTTTTGGTAAGTAGAATATAGTATTTGGAGTGGAGGGCAGTTTTTGGGTTACAGTGCAGTTTTTGTCGAGTACAATGGAATACAGTTGCGTGGAGTAAAGCACAATTTTGGGGGAGTACCCAGTACTTTCTGTGCTGTAGAGTACATTATTTGAGGAGTATAGTGCAGTTTTTATGGGAATTAGAGTGCAGCTTTGTGGGGGTAGAGTACATTTTTGCTGGAACACAGTAAATTTTTTTTTGGAATTCAGAATATATTTTCTTAACCTGAAAGCATCAATAAAAACACTGTATAAATTTTACACTTAAGTAAAAGAAACGACCGCCATAATATATTGGTGGAACTATCGTAATATATATGCTTTAAATACAGTCGACCCCCCTATAACGTACGTTCCTATAACAACAATTCCTATAACGTAGCGAAAAAATTGTAGCAACTTTCGTATAACGTACCTCCTATAACGTCGTTTCGCGAGAAGATTGATAGAGTCTGGACCAATAGTGGATGAGCAGCCGAACTACTTACCTCCGACCCTGCGCCACGCTACGGAGCGGCTAAATTGAGTTTGCTATCGTCTGTTTAGTATTATATATAAATTATATATAAATTAGGTACTGTACATATAATTATATATTAATTATATATAAATTAGGTACTGTATATATAATTATATATTAACTTAATTTATTGTAACTTTATTATAATTATATATATGCTTTCTGCCGCCTGGCAACACGCTACGGAGATTTTAGGCTAGTAAGTTGAGTTTATTATCGTCTGCACAGTATGTAAATTAGGTACCGTAAGTCTAATACAGCACTAATTTTATACATTTCTT